TAGTATTTGAAACATGGTAGATGCTCAATAAACGAAGAAGTGCATGAAAGAAAATAAGTGCATGTTAAGGAGGAAATATGAGTTCAATTTTTAAATCATGTACTTTGAGATTATACTAAATGAGCAGTTAGAAACAGGGTCTGGAGAGGAGGAAAGAATTCTGGGCTAAAGGTTTGATAATTACATCAGAATGTAAGTAGCAAATAATTAGGGCCAAAAGGCAAGATGAGGTCACTTAGAGATTGTCTGGAGAAGAACAGAGCTGAAGACAGAATACTAGGGATCCACTAATATTTTAAATTCAAGGAAAAAGTTGGCAAAGGTAACTGAAAATAAATGATCAAAGCTTCCATTGAATTTGGTATAACGGACATTTAAAATTGTAAGCAAAAGATTAAAGTTTTCAAATCAGTGTGGTCAAGAACCACAATCCCTTTCCCGTGAGCAGTTTCTAGCTCAGGTTCGAGAAAGGCAGCACTCATCACCACTACCATATCCTTCTCTTGGTTATTTCACATCATCCCGTCTTTGTTACCTCTCTGATCTCATCTTACTCCTCTTCCCCTTGCTCACTCTGAGTGCTCACTCCCTGTCAGAGAGACATGGGGTAAACAATTAGTGTTCATCTGCTTTCCCGGCACCTATCCCTTGTTGAAAACTAGGAACCAGAAAGAAGTAGTTAGCAGGATGTTTTGGACTGAATGTTTCTGCCCTTCGAAATTCATCCATTGAAATGTTACACCCCAATGTATTAGTATTAGGAGATGGGGCCTTTGGGAGGTAATTAGGTTTAGATAAAGTCATGAGGATGGAGCCCCAGGATAGGATTGGTGTCCTTATAAGAGAAAGAGTACAGAGCTCTCTCCCCACCATAAGAGGACACAGTACGATGACTACCACTTGTAAACCGGGAAGAGAGCTCTTAGTCAGCCTGAGCTGACAAAGACACAGGAGTTGCTTTTCTGGGTTCAACAGATTCTGGTGGCTTACCTTTTGATTTGCTAGTAAGAAGGGTGGAAAGGACTAAGATGGCTTTAATGCACATCAGTATTGCAGGCAGAGCATACACCAGGGGCTGGTATAGAGATAAAAGTTCTCTCACAAATTGTATTAGTTTCTGGCCCTTCTCAAGAGCCTCTATTAATGGACTGTCACCATTATTTACTGACAATGGCCTCTCCTCACAAAAGGTCTATGCCTCCTGACTGAATATACTCAATAAAAGTGCTTGCAATCATTTTCAATTCAGTTTCACAAATATTTATGGAGCCCCAATATGTGTCAGGTACTATTAGATGCTGGGAATAAAGCAATTACTGAAACTAACAAAAACT